CCATTCTACATATTGTTCCATAGTGTGGTGTCAACCAAAGAAGAGCGGAATTACATGTAATTCCGCGTAGGGGGGGGGGGGGGGGGGGGGGGGTGATCGACAAACGTATATAGGAAAGTGGAAGGATACCTTGCATAGTATGGTTTGCTCTTCCATTCACCGATGCGGAGAGAGCTGATCGTGCTGGAGTGAGTTTCAACCTCTCAGCAGTCGAGCCAATCGGTAGTGTATCGTGCAGGAGGGAATGCGGATGTGTAGAGATACATGTTCAAGACAAACAGGCCCTACGGCAGAGGGTATTTGGCTCGGCACGCGCGTCTCCTCAAAGAAGCACGAACAACGTTAACCTCAGATTTGCCGGACATACGTGAGGAGATTTTTTTTTCTAGTTTTCCGTATGCATATGCAACCACAACACCAACCTTGTCCACACCTTAGGGTCCCGAACGTCAACTCCCCCGCCAAGTCAGCCACCTCCGTGACCAGGGTAAGCGTGCGTAGCAGGGTCTCGCGGTTTGCGCGAAACCCTACCGTCAGAGCGGCGCCGGTCACGTCGAACAACTGTAAGCAGGATTGGTGTAGGGGTTAGGACTGCCGAGATTTTGGCACGACCTGGCGGACTGTCGCGAAGCCTCACCATCGGAGAAGTGCCTATTATTTAGTCTATGTGTCTGGCATTGATTGAGGGGAGAGGAACGAAGAGGTCCTCGATCGAAAATCATTCACTGGGGGGTAGTTTTACCAGAAATCAATGTGGAGCGATGGACTCCGTCGTGTTTGTCGTGTCTCGCGACCAAAGGACTAGACAAACCTGTGGGATACAAGTTGTCCAGAGACAGAGCGTGTGGCAGATACCTAAGAACAATATATATTGGTCCCCTGGATTGTGCCAATACAAAGAATGAGTATTTGGGAGAGTTTGGCATAGTACCCGGGGCTCATCGGAAAGTGCCACAGCGTGCCTCGAAAAAGAACACAGTGCTCCACTTTGGCTTGACATAACGAGTCCCGAGCCTACTTGGTCCGCGGTTCTTGTACAAAAGAGTCAATACTACCGTTTTCCCGGAAATTCAGAGCAGGGTAGACGCGTTTCGTAGAAAATAGAGTTTGTTGCTGGTGTGCCACTCGAATAAGTTGAGCCGATGTCACATAGAGCTGGTGTGGGTGTCCGAACAGGGCCATAAACGTCTCGACTTGCCTCGACTTGGTTGCCCCCGTGCTTTGCAGCCGCCGTCGTGATGGTCACGATGGTATCTTTCAGCGCCGCGCGGTCGATGAACAACCAGGGGCTAGCAACCTCTCCGCCCCTGCCGGCAGGACATAAGTGAGATGTCCTGAAATGTTCTTTGGGGAATATCAGCGCTTGATTCACCGCGGTGTCCGGCATTAGTGAGGAGCGTTTGAGTGATGTTGAGAAGAGACCCCACAGCAAGTAGCCCGTGCCTGCTGCTGGACCCTTCAGATTGTGCTCGTCAAAAGGAGGGGTTCCTTGTTGATTGGTTGGTTTGTAATGCTAACCTTCTAGGGGACATCATGCATGATCCGTCCATACGTGAATACGCCCAATATTTGAGTTTCGCAGACGTACCGACCACACCCTCCGGCCCACTGCCGGCTCAGCCAGACGAAAACTTGCCTATTCTACATCACAACTCAACACCCCAACAGATGTATCACTAGTCCACCATGACCGGCGACGGCTGTGGCACGGCGACGGCAGCGACAACAAACTCCAAGAACGTGTGAAGGAGGAAATCGTCCTCGACAGACGTTGGGGAGATGTCACTCTTCCTGATGGTCATATCCATTCTCCCGCACCCACCCCCGCTCTACATGTTGAGCCTCTTTGGGGTTCTCTTTGCCACCGTAATCAGACATGTCACCACCACGCTACTGTAGTGTGAAAGGAGGAAATCGTCCACGACAAACGTTGGGGGGGGGATGCAACATTTTCTAAATATCATCCCCACAAACCCTCGTGGTTGCTTCTCCACGTACCTCCGTCTGCTGGCACCATGTTTCTTAACCATGTTCGCCGCCGCCACCGCGCTCGTCGCCGCGGACTCCCCCTCCCCGCCGAAAATCTTCTCGACCGACGCGATGGCCTTGTCCAGAGGAACGAGGTGGGCCGGCGTCGGGCCCTGTCGAGGCTCCGTTCGGCACGGCGTCGCGTGGCTTTCCACCGCGGCAAACACCCGGAGCCACAGGCACTCTTCGATCTCGGAAAACCCGTCCTGTACGCCGCCGCCGTCGCCGCTGCTACTCTCGGTTGGGCTTGCAGTTGCGTCGCCGGCGTTGCTGTTGTGGGCCGAGGCGGCGGAGGGGTCGATCTCTCCTCGCCCACCGAAGCCGCCGGGGCTGCTACCGTCCCCGTTGCTACCTTCGCCGTTACTCACGCAGAGCAAGCTCTGTTTTGGCGGAGGCATTCGTACGGGTGTGCGGATGCACGGGTGTGACGCAGCACGACAAGCCCGCGACGACGATGACGAAGACGACGACGACGGGGGGTAATGCGGGTTAACAGAAACTACCTATACACGCAACGTGGGCAGCAAGCGATAGGAAAGCTATGATGACGCCAAGCGTGTGCTGGCAGGTTGTAATCCTGTGCTGGCAGGTTGTAATCCGCCGTACGATGTTTCTCGTTCGAAAACCTCCCGCGCAACGACGGTCGAACCCCCCGCGTCCTGTGATGTATGATCGCCCTCCCCCGATCGTTACAGACATCTTGCAAGCCAGTAGTGCTCATCACCAGTCCTTCTCTCTTCACACCTGGAACTGCTTCAAGGCCGTCTTCTCGTGCCCAGCGACGGACCTCGGCAGGTGCCCGTAGCCCGGCGGCCGGGACGTCGGCTGCGCCGGTGCCGTCACCCCGGCCTCCTCCGCCGAGGCCGCCAGCTGCCGCGCCCGCGCCGACAGCGACGGCGGAGGCGGCAACCAGAACAAGAGCGAGGCAACAAGCCTCCGGACCGCTGATCTCGCTCTCCCCACCCTGCCGGACCGCCTCAGCTCCGTCTCGTACAGGAACTGCCCCAGCCGTCGGGGGCGCAGCAGGCTCGACGCCGCCGGCACGGTCGCCGCGGCCGCCACCGCCCTGTACGACGGAGACGTGGCGCCGCCGGCGGCGGCTTCCCGGCGGTACGCGACTAGCGCGCTGGCGGCGGCGATGACGCAGGAGTGGCAGCCGGCGATCCCGAGCACGCCCTGGCTGGAACGGATGACGCCGACCTGGTCCACGAGGCTCTTCATTCCCACCAGCTGTGTTTGTTTGTCCGATGGTGTACCGAAGATTATTGGAGGCAGCAGGAATGCACGACGGCGGGGGGGATTCTCGGAGACAGAAGCTCGTGACCATGGCATGTTGGACTTACGGTCGATCGAAACATGTTATGCAGTACCCGAAACCCCGCAGTGGTGCTATTTCCTTGACAGGGGAGTGGGGTTGGGGTTGGGGGTCTAATCAGGAGTCTATCGCAGCCAGCGAGCCCCCGGGGCGAGCACCCGTGGGAGGCTCTATGAAACTACCGGGGTTGAGTCAACAGCACACAACGTGTGGAGGTTGCAACAAATCGACAGCGAGAGCTGTACGAACAGCTGAGTTACTTCAAGAGCGTTGAAACATCCCTCGACAGACAGGGAGTTGTGGTTTTTATTGCCTGATCCCGATCGATACGTGGGAGGGAAAAAAAGTAAACGAAACACAGTAAATGTAAAAAATTAAAAGAACTTACCTCCAGCAGCCCAGGGAATGGCCAAGGAGTCGTTGGTGCAGGGTCCGCCAGGAGGGACAGGATGACCCCTTCGGCCCTCCCGCACGCCTGCTGGTGGGCGTTGTTGTTTGACGATCGATCCACACAACAGCAGTGAGCGTTTGCAAGCGGCGAGTGGGGATGTCAGCAGCAGCAACAGCATTTTGTATGGATTCCGCCACGAAGTGGGGCGGTGGTTGGACTCTTACACCGGCAGAAATTCCTGTCTTTGGGATAAACGAAGGAGTGGCTACAATGAATGGTTATATTTCGCGCTCAGACGAAAACATTCTTGACCCTTGACCGTTCTCATACGCTGAGACGGACACAAAGATTAGCGTCGGGAAAATCTTTGTGGGAGGGGGGGCAGGGCACGGCCCGCTCAGACCGACCGCCGAAGAGAAAAAATACAAGGGTACATTAAACAGATAGAAATCATGTGCTGGGAACCCTCCTACGACTGATGACGCGGTTCTTCGTTTTATTGGGTCGCCCTACTTGTACGTGCAGACAATCTTGGGGGCCATCGGATCTTCTTCCTTTTCAACGTGCACATCGTCAAGATAACAATGCCCCAGACTCCCTCCGTTTTCCGGGGTGCGCACTTTGTTCCACGAAACGTTTAGATTCGATGAGGTTGGGGGACTGGGGTTCGGCTGTTTGGTCGGTGGTTGTACGTCTACGCGCTTTGCTAGAGTTTTTGGCCTGCCTGAAGGAGATCTCTGGCGTGTTCTTTTGCGTCGGCCTTGACCTTGGAGGCCCTTTCCTCCGCTTCCTTCGTCTCGTTCCTCAAAGCTTCCGCCCGCAAGGCCGCCTCGCGCCCTTGCTGCACAAGGACGTCCATCATCTTTCTGTCGGCCAAACTGCGTTTGCCCGCGACTCCTGTTCTGGAACCTCCTGCTGCTGCCGCCGCCGCCGCCGCCGCCGCCGCCGCTGTTGGCGACGCCGACCGCGGTGACGAGGAACCTGCAGCCGTTCTCTTCGCCGTAGCTATTGCTGTTGACATTCGTTTTGGTGATTGGGGCCCACCGTCACCACCGCCGCCGCTTTCGGCAGTCCCGCTTCTGCCATTCACGGGCGTCCGGACGGTCATCGGCGACGTTCCTCTTCCGCCACGGTTCGATAGGTCCCCGCTACCGGCGCTCCTGTCGCTGTTGCTGCTTCTCTCGACCATGGAGGAGTCGGAAATGCTGCCACCACCGTCATCGTCATCGTCTCTGCGGACGCACCAAAGCCCGGCCGCATGTATCCTGTTGAGGTCTCTCTCGAGCGCTTCCTATAGAAGAAGTGTTTTTTCAATATTTTGATTACGAGCGCGCGGGGGGGGGGGGGTACTCATAATCGTGCGGGGGGGGGGGGGTTGAAGTTGAATTTCGGTTTGAAAGTGACGGAGGCTCAAAAGAAGCCTTCGATGTACGCTCCTAGCACCTGTCCAATCCGACACACAGCGCTGCTGCGTTTCATCCGCCATTCTGCCCCAAAGACTCTGAACCCGGAACCCCTCAGCTCTGAAATTGGCCTAAACTCCGCATCAGAGCTCCAAGTTCCTGCAGTCTGTGCACGTTTCGTGACCCTATGTGCGTAGAGAACAAAGAGCAATGAATCAAGGAGTTACCCTCTCCTGACCTTTTGCTCCGTCGGCTAGCAAATGGATGACGTGCTTGGGGGGACTTAGGCCTCGAGCTTGATAAATCCGGACTCCTAGAAGAAATGCTACGTCCATAACGTGTTACGAGCAAACCTGAGGGGACAAAGGAGGAGCTGAGACGACCGCAGCCTGTTGCTGTGTCGGAGGAGAGAGCGGGAGCGGGGGTAGGACCTTCGCCAACACCGAGTCCCCGTATGTCTCGAAGTTCGGTAGCCATTGCTTGAGGGTCGCCACCTAGTTGTTGGTTTGGAACGGGCACAATTTCACGTCGGCAGCGGGCAGAATTGGGGGGGCGGGGAGGGGCGCGGGGGTGCACAGCCTCAGAAACGAGAACAAAAATCTCGTCGTCCAGTCGGCAGGAAGCTTAGCTATTGCAAGATACGGGTCGAGCAACAAGTTTGGTCGCGACCGGTGTGTGGAACTTTCACGGAGCGGATGGATTCTTGGGTCAACTTTAGCTGTGCATGTACCGTATCTGTACCCACGTCCTGGTCTTTTAACAAGGGTGGGCTTCGACACCACGATATCTGACTGCGGGCGGTCCGAAGCTACCGAAGCGACGAAATATGGAAGGAGTATCAAGTGTACCAACACATGAGGCGCTGATTCGAGGAGTGTGCCGCACGCACGTACAGGTGCAAATCGACTACGCCACCCAACGCAACCTTCTCTCCTGTCACGCCTGGCTATTGCTCCTGGCACGCGCTAAATAGATACAATGACTACGGTTTTTGTGAGGAGAAGCGACACAACTTGTGTTACTGAGGGTCCATATAGTATTGCTTGTGTTTGTCGCGGTTGGTTGTTGTTGCTGGTGGTGATGGGTAGGAGTGGTATTGTGGTGGTTGTTGTCGTCGTCATTTTTGCTGCCTCTTCCCACCCCGCTCACCGTGCGTTCATTTTCGGCGACGATACTGCCGTAGCGAACCTCTTGGTCCTTGAGCTGCCGAACCTTCTTGGACCATCTGGTGCAGGAAGAGAATATGGTGTATTCACACGCGCAGACCAACTACAACGCGCATGCGCGCACGTTTTTTCATTCGTTTTGGTGTTTGTTGCGGACCTTCCTAAGGCACTCGGTGCTAGTGCGATCCACCGGCTAAGCGTTTGACACGGAGCTGTAGTATCACCAACAACATCGACTCAACAACAACGGTAACAAATTGCGTGCGCTGCCACGTCCACCGAGACATACGCGTGTACGATACAACTCCAGCTACGAACAACCACCCAACATCTCTATCTCTATGTTTCTGTCTGTCTTCGCCCCTCTTTCTGTCTCTCACCCTCTCAAAACCGTCTTGGTACCTGTTACTGAACCGATACGCAGGTATGCAGTTCTTGTCAGAGTCCCCCCACCTTCCAAGAGCCAAAACGGCCCGCGATATGGTAAACCTTTGAAATTGTTCCGCGCTTAAATGTTTGGGGAAAACCTCGTCCTTGCTTTAATAAGTCCCTGGGGTCTCTTCTTGTTGGTATGCATGCTTTCCTTTCAAGATGAACATACGCATGGTTTTCAGCTTCCCACTACCTCCCGATGCTCTCTCACAAGTTGAGATGCGTCGAAATGTACGAACTGGGCCGGTGTCTGCGCCCTGCGGGAATTATGGACACCCCACTCACGGTTGCTGCATTTTAATTTGGCCGCTTGAATGCTTATTCTTGTGTTGCTTTCTCCGCATGGATTCCCCCAAATGATGATGTGTGATCGAAGGCTCGACAACCAACCGTTGTTAAGCGATCCCCACCCCTTCACCATTAGCTTGGTGCAGGCCTGCATTGGAATGTCGCATTTTTGTGCTGCTGTGATAGGTTTGCCTTCGTCTGCCGGGTGCAAGCCGCGCTCTAAAAAAAAGGTGCTCACGAACCAACACCGCGTGTGATTGTCTTACCTGCCGTTGATAAGCTCCTCCGTTAGCTGGAGCTCGTTCTTGTGGATCGTTTCGCGGCTCTCTCTGTCGGCTCGCTCTTGCTCGACGACCGCGTTCATGACCTCTAGCCGTTCCTCGCACCTGCGATGTTGTTGTTCGGCGCCAGTGAGTAAGACCCAACGTTCACACGTCCAGCCCAACGACACCAAACACACGCCCGTGGATCGACCGACGCAAGAAACAAAGTCTTCTGCTCTTCTATCTCTGAGAACAAACAAACGGAATCTTTTGTAGTCCATCTCGTCATGCCTATTCGTCAATTGGCGATCGATCGCCCGATCCGCATGTTGTCCTTAGGGCCAGACATCGAAACATAGCGCTCCGTACTCGTCCTCGAGCGAAGAAAAACTCTCTTTCTGCATCCACCGTGCTTCATTCGTGCCACAGGGATATACATCGTACTCACATTATATGCCCAGAACGGAGCGCTGGCGCGCCTCTACATCAGCAAAAAACACCAACAACACCAACAACACCAACAATAGCAATAACCACAACGATAATGACAACGACACACGACAAGGTAACGTACGATTCCAACGCCATCACCGCCACCATGACTAAACCTTGGCCAGTCCTATTCCAGCAGCTGTGGCAGCAAACATGGAGGACCACGCAACACTGCCAAATAATATCTATGGTACCTGGCGACGGTGCGCGACATTTCCCACAGCACAAACTCAAAGAGTTCGTTGAGAGACCGCCAGATTCGATCGAGCAGCCGCCCTCTCTCCGCGCAGTGCTGCGTGACCTACACTTTTGTGCCCCCAGACACATGCAACCAAGCAAACGAAGCCGTCAGGTTCAACACCAACAGAGCAGCCGTGAGTCTGGCTCGTGAACGGAGGTGGCAAGAGGCAGTTAGTTACTGTACAAACACCGACAGAGTGAACGATGAGCCCGTAGTACATCAAGCAGAAGATGACTTGTGGGGGAGAGAACAGGTCAAAACCGCCTCACATCTATATTCGCAGGTGTTCAATTGTTGTGTTGCGCTCTTTGGTGAATATTTCCAAGTCTGTCCTTTAGGGCTTTCTCCGTCCTTCTCACGTTTTCCTCTTTCTGGATGTCATCGGGACCTTTTGTTCGTTGACGAGTGGTGACAAGACTAAGATTTCTGCGTCGTTTTTACCGTTACTTCGTACCCTTCTTTGTCTCCGTTGCCACCCCAAGTCTGTTTCTTCTCCGAAAAGAGTACGGGGAAGACCAGGTACTCGGTAGACTGTAGGGCGATTATGAAAGAGAACACCACCAATACAACGACAAGGCCCATCCGATGGGAAGACTCCAACGGTGAATCCGAGCAGCTACACCGTGAGGGAGGGCGATGCCTCCAACCTCGTGACTACACAAGCTATTTCGAGGACGCTCCTATCCCACCTTCGGTGAGAAACCCGACGTGCTCTGTCTCGGCTTTGTAGGGGTGCGAGGTCAATGGTCTAACGACTACGGTTTGCACGGCTATGAGTACACCACCCCTGCACGCCAGGTAACCCTCTCCCAACAGAACTTGCTCTCTTTAAACGTAGTCAGAACGATACTCCGTATTGTTTCGATACTTAAAAAAAATATATATATAGCGAACTGTCGGTATCGTCATTGATGCTGTCTCACCTGACGGATTACCTCGAAAAACCCCACCATTAGCACGTTCATTTGTGCCCTGATCTTAGCCGCCTTTCTCGCTTCCTCGGCAGTGGCAGTGGCAGCGCTCGCAGTTGCCCCTCCGCCCTCTGGGGCACCGCTCTCTGCCGCCCCCCCGTAACCCGCCCTTCCGCCATGGGCCCCCACCCCGTCTCCCGTCGTCGTCACAATATTTGTCTGAGCGCTAGCTGGGCTGGCAGCAGTTGTGGGGCCGTTGGTGTCGACCCCGCCACCGGTGCCGCCGATATGCCTGCTCGGTAGTTGAGCATTTGGGCGGTTAGTGCTGGCATTGCTTACCCCTCGAAAGGCGTTTTGCCCTTTGTTCTCATCGGCGGAGACCGCGGTTTGAATTAGACGCCCGTTGCTGTTGTTGTTGTGGCTGCCTCTGCCGCTGATCGTGTTCTTTGTCTCCGTTTCGCCGGCATCTGCGGCATGTCCTGCCAGTGCCATTGTCATCCAGCGCTCCAAAAGTAACACCTGATGGCCAGCGGGATGGGGGCGTCATAATCAAGGTGTGGTTCGTGGTGCCAGACGAACGATGTTCCTCTTTTTCGGAACGATTCTTCGACGAGGAAGTCATGTGCCGGGAAAATAAATCCTCTGCTCTTGACCCTGCTAACTATATCCTTTCTAACCCTACTGTATTCTGTAGGTACTGCCGTGTATGTGGTTGTTCGATGCGTTCAAAGCTAGGGGTTGTGGAGGATTGGCTCTCCCGTTCCCTACCCGCACTCCGCTTGTGGCATCTACCACTCGGACCTAGCCCGCAACAGCGTCACCACTACCACCCCATTTATCATCGTAAAGATTTCTACAACAACGGCTTTTTATAGATTAGCGACTGGTACACAGTCATCTCCCGTGATTGGTGTGTCCACGAACACGCCGTACAACAACCATGTAATTGGATGGTTCCAAGGCAGAAAGTACTACGGTGATAAATGGGGTGGTAATGGTGACGCTGTTGCGGGCTAGGTCCGAGTGGTAGATGCCACAGGCGGAGTGCAGCTATGGCACGGGATGCACAATCCCTATCTTTCTATTCATCGAAGAGACGCACACTCCATTCATCGAAGAGCCGCAAGTACCTACTGAATACAGTAAAGTTAGGGGATAAAAGTAACTGGGAAGGGCAGAGGATGTATCAATGCTTGACTAGGATGCCCCAACCTTGACAGAGAATGGGGTACAATTCTTGGTATACGAATGGGGGCTGAAGCTACGTGAACAGTGTATGGGAGCAAGAAAATTCTATATCAAAAAATTGGAGATCGAAGTGGGGTGGGGGATCGTAGAGTGAACCAATCTACTTGGAGGTAAGAATAGGAGATGAAGCTATTCAGACTTGGTGCACTTGCTCAACTGAAACGAGAATGATCTCGAAACCGGTGGGGGTTCCAGCACTGTTGTTTGTGGCCTCTGTTAGTGTTGTTATTGGTGCTGTTGTCGTCGTCTCCGTAGTCGTCGTCGTCGTAGGGTATGCATGTAAGACAATGATGTTCTCCATCCAGGACCTCCCCCTTCCACGCTTTCCCCAAACCGAATAGGAGGGGAGCGGCGAGGGTTGAAACAAGAGTCCACGAGAACCAAGGAAATAATCCGTTGAAAGATATTTAGTTCCCCTTTGACGAAAAAAAAAACCGCCACCTTTTCATGCAGTTGGTACAAGGGAACCGCTCGCACCTGCTCGCGATTACTTGGACGCTTTGCAGGGAACACGATTCGGTGCCACAGCCGCTCAGCAGGCTCATACCTACGACGTCGGTGCGTTTTCGGTTTTACACGCGTGCACAGTGCAACCGCAAATGACCGCGAGATTCCCAAGTCTTGACGACAAATAGACGGCTGACTGGCAAACGAATCGAATGCGAAACCCAATTTTTGGAGACTCGTACAGCAACCTATCACGTAATTTCCGTGCTCGTGCGCTCCTTGTTCCCCTTGCTTCGGTACTTATCAGGGCCATGTTACGGGCTAGAGTTCGTTTTGCGGTGAGGAAACACGTTTTGTGCGTCCACCCTGAAAAAATCTCCTTATTGTGTGTTTGGTAAGCCTGTGGCCACGGGCATTCGATTCGTACCGGCTGTACTACTTTGGGGCAAGAAGAGGACTACTTGTGATGGCATACGCATGGCTAACAACAAGGCAACTCGTCCGACTTCACCCATCTCCTTCCGCGCCTACCAATCCAACCCAATCCAACCGATCCTACCCGGATGCAACACCCACCACTCTTCGTAGGAAGGGTCGTTCTTCCTGAGCACCGAGGTCTCGACCACGGTTTCCTTCCGGGGAATTTTGGAGGCAGGCACGATGACGTCACTCCACTCCCCTTGCTTCACCTGTTGGTATTGTCGATGGCAATCAATCTTGTTCCGTAATCGCAGGCAATATGTATACGTATGTACGACCGCAAGAGCCCGGAGTCGTCGGGCGGGTGAGTGGCACGGCGGAGATTGTTTTGCACATCTGCGTAGTACGACAAGAAACCACTTACAGACGTCCTTCGTTCAGCCCCTCGCTCGTTGATATCCACGCGACAAAGATGGAGATGAAAGATATGTATTTGGATGTGAACGAGAGGTCGGGGTGTGAACGCATCATCACCACCACGCTTCATCCAGCCTACTTCTCGAAGCAAAGAAAAGCGCTGCGTTCCACTAACCAAGAGTAGGGGGGAAGCGGGGTGTTCAGAGTTCAACAGAAAAAGGCAACGGAAAATGAAGATGGGCGGTCACTTCAACACGCGGCAAGGGGGCACCTGCTTGCCGTGACCGGGCTTGTCTCTGATGTATGAAACGTCGTGGCACCTGCCGCCTCTTGCAGCGGAAGCTGTCGTGGCTGATCCCAAGCCACGACGAGGTATATGGCGGCTGTTCCGTTTCGTTCATTGATTTCGAGACAAGCACAAGCGAGGGCGCACGGTACGTGGATTTTGTAAGAGAGGCTACAGTGTACAGATTTCAGATGTAACCTACCATATATGACACAAGATAACACACCCCCTGGACCGATTTCCAAAGCTCGATTACTCCACGACGAAGAGGATGCACAAACGAAACGATACATTTTCGAAATTTTCTCGACAAGACGATTCCAACGCTGCCGTTTTCGGCGCCGTGACTCTTCCTGCTGTTGAGATATCGAGCTTTGAAAATCGGCCAAGGGGGTGTGTTATCTTGTGTCATATACGGTAATTTAGGTCCTAATTTATGCCTGGCCTAGAGATCGCCCTTTCGATGGAGAAATAAATGGGACCCTATACAGTACACTTCTAGACTCCATAGTATTGGAAATGACTCGGGCACGGCTTTGCCGACCCACGTGTGAGAAAAGATGGTTTCAGTGTGTAAGGAAGCTTACACTGTGGGACATTAGCCTCGACTACAGCAGTGATGCAGTATAGTTCAACCTTTCTTTCGAGCTCACCAAGCGTCTGCAATGTGGCGTCCTTGTCCGCAGTACAATAATGTTGTTTGCCTCTAAGGGCTGTGCGCATGTTTCCATCTGTGTCTAGAATTCGTACTCGACTGAAGTGCAAATGATTGACAATATTCTCACAATTGAATGAACGGTTGTGCCGCGAACAGCGGAGACCCTTCTCTGTGTAAAGGTGTTCCAAGAGTTTTGTCGTGGTGGAACGTTGCGAGGTGGATGCATTACATGCCTCATCATGGATATCACCGAAGCATCCCCAGCAGCGTCGGGAAGGCTTGCGGCATGCTCTCCGTGTTCGGAAGGAACGGCCAAGCCAGGGAGAACTCCCATCATCTCCAAATCCTTCGCCGTGCTTACGCCGACAAGGCGCGGCCTGGCAGAGATGCGGCCAGAACAAGTCGCTGGCGATGACGATGGTGGTCGGTGAGGAGATCGAGCAGGCATCTTGCTCGTTTTTGCCTGTTCCTTCTTCCTGGGGCAAGCTGGGAAATAATTGCTTATTTGGTGGCGCAATGTCACTCAACAGAGGCAATCCTCGCATCCCGCTATTTAGTGTGGCACGCTACTGTTAGGCAGATTGATGAACAACGACAACGAAAGAGTGGCGGCAAGAACAAAAGAACAAAAAAGTGGACAGTCTTTGAAACCCCCGAAAAATGCCGTCCAGGAACTATAAATACCAGGATCTCCGAACAGAATGTGTGAATGTGTGCCAGGGGTGTGCACGCGGGCAAACGTTGGGCCGGAAACGTGAGCGACAGACAGAGGATCGCGCCCACAGGTGCCTCCATGACGGCATGCATCTTCCACGGCTACTGCTGGTATGGATAACCCTCTTCGAAGCTCAGGTTCGTTGTAGTACTCCAAGCCTGCTGCTGTAAGCTGTAAGCGGCAGTGCTTTGTTACACCTTGCACCTTGGTACCTGTTGCCTGCCAACGAGTAGCATCTTGCACTGCCGATGAAGGCTATCATGAAGACCATGATGGAGGCCATGTTCGAAGAGAAGAGAAGGCACATTGCCTCTCGCTCTGAGCCTGTGAGTTTTTGTATACACCCTTGGGTAGATGAGAGATTTGATTTCAGCTCTCGCGCATTTTCCGAAATTTTTCTTGTGCAAATGCTCCGCAGCTTGCTGACAGAGTTTTTCTTTTTTTTTTGTCTCTCACTTCCCGAACAATGCCATTTTTATTATTGTGTCGCCGCGCAAAGGCCGGGTCTTGGAGGTAGAACTCTCTCCCTCCTTCCCGGCCCTTTGCCTACTAAGGAATCCACACGCTTCCTTAAGTAATAAGAACCAGGCTGACGACATTCCGCTGGTCGCCCAGCTTGGACACAAACCTCCCCACAAACCTCCATGCCTTTCCATGCTCTGCTCAAGCCTTCGCTTTTTGCCCGAGCACGCTTACCTCGGCTTACCGGTCGTTCCATGTCCTGCCCTTTGGCCAGAGACACGCTTACCTTGACCACACCCTTCGCATTATTCAGCCTTTCCATGCCCTGCTCAAGCCTAGAACATGCTTCCTCGACCTTCTGGCCTTTCCATGTCTCGCTCTCGCCCAACAACATGCTTACCTCGGCTTAACCGGTCGTTCCGTGCCCTGCTGCTCAGCAGCCAGAGACACGCTTACCTTGACCCTATTTTTTTTTTTCCATCATTTGCCTTCCCATGCCCTGCTTCCGCCTAGAACACGCTACCCATGGCTAGCTTCCGCCCGAGACACGCTTACCTCGGCTTCAAAACCAAGAAGAAAAAAAAAAAAAAAATGAACCGACGATGCTCTTGCTCTCTTTCTCTGTCTGGCTCCTCCCTTCCGTACGCTCGCTTCCTTCTTCTTCCTCCTCTGTCTCTCTTCTACTCCTCCTCCTCTTGTTTGTTTGTTGTCTTGCTCTTTCGTTCAGATGTTTCTTCTGTTGTGGACAAGGTGCATCTCTTTCTTTTCTTTTCTTTCCGGTACACATGCCTACCTATCTATCAATTATCTCTTACCTACGGTGCCCCCTTTGATCTTTCTAACCG